CATCTCAGTCAGTATTACTGCCTTCTGTTTTCAGTCTGAACCCGTAATTCCGGTGATACAAGATCCCCCGGAAGACTGAAAGCATTTCTGCTTTTTTTTACTTCAGTCGTAAAGTTCATTGTCTTTTGTTCAACAAATAGGTAGCTATCGTACAGCTTTACCAACTAAAACTGTTACCATTGTCGTTTTGCCCATAGTTTTTCCTCCTTCAATCACAATGAATTCATGCCCCATTTTATTGCCTTGTGAAGTGGCTAATCAGTCGATTAGATGATCAAAAGTAATTGTCGCACGTGTCAAAGTCACTGAGAGATCAATAATGGTCACACCTGTCCTTATGCAAGCTTTCCCACCAACTGTTATGCCCATCGATACGAACTCAGCCCATCCGTGGTCGTTGTGCTTGCAGATATAGGTCACGACGTGGCACGGCGACAGCTGCCAAGCCATTCACTTATCTATGTTTGGAGAACAATCCGGTTGCTGACTTCATCCGAAGTTAAAATGGTATACACTGAATACCATAAGGCAGCTTGTTGGCTTGAAAATTGGCATGATCTCAACCGCTTTTAAAAGTGGAATATTAGTGAGATCTGTTGCCGGTAACCGACTTTCTTCTGTCCGTTTTATGGTCTACGATTAGCTTGAAAATCAACTCAGTAATGGTTTTCATTTTTCCCAATTTTAGGGGCTAACAGACAAACCAAAACCAATCTGCTTTCTTCGCCAGAAATGGAATTGTCCACGTGGATGGTTACAGGACAGATTTTTACGGAAAAACAAACAGGTGTTATGTCATTGTTTTTATCTTTGCATGTTTAGACCACAGTTACGGTAATTTACTGAGTCAAGGACGAAAGGTGAACTTAAGCAGGAGACTGATGCGATGGTAAGCCTCACCAACCGTAAATAATGCCAAACATCTTAGCTTTTCAGAATGATGCAAGACAAATCCGAAAGGTTATTGCTTTTATTCCGTGCATTCCTTATTGGCAGCAGGCTCACTTTCTGGGGCTTGGTTCATTTCATAAAACGTACCTCTGGCGTACATCTTGGGATCTCTAGAGTTAGGAAAATATTTTCTGTTTTGCAAGCGCTTCGTAGGACATCTATCAATTGATCAGTTTATTAGGAAAACAAGTTTTATAGCGATATGAAATGTTCAGAGTACAAAGCAACTGAAAACTAACAATCATGAAAATAGTTAATTGGTAGCTAGACTCGGATTTCGAATGGAGATTCATAGGCCGACTTTAAATGACATCAACTACGCATAGACGTACATGAACTTTCCGAGAGTCGGATGTTTATCGGATCGCCGTCTTTGATGGCCGCAATATGTCGGTGTCGTGGGAAAAGCAAACCAGTAACTCTGCCGTCCTTATGCACTTTGTCAAAACCGGGGGTGTCTTGTACAACTGACAAGCTATTAGCAACACTAAACAGGCTGTCCTGTTTTGATCGCGTGTAGTTTTGCCACCTTATTGACCATCTTGCCAAGATAATAGAAAACCCAATTGCATATTTTGCATCCAAAAGTCCGAAACCGCGAACCAGAGCCAAACCCACAACCTTCCGCCAACTGCTCAGAAGTTCTACAAGCTGACCTGTTGTTCTACGGCTAATCGGGTGTGAATAACAAGTGAACATACAGCGATAGGCAACCACTATTCCAGGGATACTTAGTAACCGTTCTAGACTGAGATATACTCGTGTCAAGTATTATGAGCAACAGGATCCTGGATCCCACAGATAAGGTAATGCATTTCTAGCATCAAAAATACTGACGCAATAAGCAGGAATCGAACCGATGACCATCAGACATTCAGTCGATTGGCCCTAAGGGCACTAGCTCATCTGGTAGAGCATCTGCCTGGTCAGCGGAAGGTCAGTGGTCCCATTCCTGTTAGAGGCGTCTAACATTTGAATGCGGAAAATGCGAATGGATTCTCCATTGTCTGAGATCCAGGCTCTGTATTGTTTTATTTAGTTATTGGAGGGAGAATTTGGCAATATAATAATAATGACAATAATAATACTAACTGTGTCTTTCTGAGGACTTAAGCTGGTAGCCGGAAAGAACAAATGCACTGAAATCGAGGTAGACTTTTGGTTTTACAGCTTCATTTAAGTGCATTGTCACACAATATTATGAAGAGTAAAGAGTGCCACCGTGCCAAGCATTCAGATCTATTTTTAATACAATATCAAACTGATAATTTAGACAAAGTCATGAAGAATGAAGAAACTGTTACCGCTGAGCTTACAAACGTTGTCCAGATTGGCCGTCAATGACGATTTCAAAATATGTGAGAGAAGCTTTATTAGACTACGTTCTTTCGAAACCAGGATAATTGTGCTTTAGCGTAGGCGATCTGAATAGTAAAATTGCTACGAACAACCCTCGTTTGGAATAGATAATTCATTACCTTCATTACTCTTCATGTTATGACTGACTCAGGTTGAAACCTCTCCTCTGTGAAAACTCAACGCACTTCAGCGAGAATAAAAATAAGCTCGTTATTTTTCAGGGAAACTAGGTTCACACGATCACTCGTTCAATGACGGTTTTGTTTCTGCAAAGTAGAAGAAAAACAAGGCGCTCTGTGGGTCACTGCAATCCTTACTTTTAGGGCCCTGTGTAAGTTATCATACACCAATGTGTTCATGCACGTAGGAAAATCGACAATCCCCCTCGCGTATTCTAAACCCAGGCAGAATACGTACGACAAAGATGTGCAATTCAGATCTTTCTCTTGCTACTTAATTACTACTGATAGTAGCTGCCCGACTCTGAAGCAAACGGTTGCCTTTATGTTCAGGTAAACGAACTGTTTTCACTCCGGACGCTATATTAGATCAAGCAAAACAAAAATGTAAGCGTCAATTTGCTGGTCATGATAGTCTAACTTTATTTATCTTTTTTTACTTACCTAAATTAGATACACTTTTATCATATCTGGGAGCATTGAAGTTTTTTTATTGTTCCGTTGATCAGGGCACTCACGTAGTCCTTAATGCACTTGAAACCAAACTGCATCCTGCAAATGTAACTAACGGCTTTTTCTGATGGAAAATCTTGTATCATCATGTACGAAAGTGTTCCTTATGTAAAATCTTTCTAGAAAAACGGTTTCCAAGGAGATCGCATTAACCGATTCCACTTTCTACTTGTCGAATGTAGATAGATTAGGAACTGCGAAGACTATCAGATAATAGAATCTTTAGCTCCAAGTTAATGTTGAACTTCTAAGCTGTGAAAAATACAAAGCAGTAGAAGATGTTTATTTTAACAGAATATGTGTACTATATGTAATGAAGATGCTTCGAATGAGTAAGTTCTTGTATCTCTGGATAAGATAAGGCTTTGGTTCCGATCAAAGCGTACACCTAAGCAATGAACAAGTTGTTGTCATTTGAAAGATGTCTGAGGTAAGTTAGACTGATGCGCAAATTATTAGGGTATAACAGAAACTGGTTTTTCACACCTCCTTATGACTTTTATATTGTTGTTGTAATCTGTAGTTCAGTACCTGGAAGTTGTAATATGTCAGCGGATGTTACTAGGTTTCTAAACACCATGGCTGCGTTTTGGATAGCATATGGTTAAGCTTAATCCCTCAAAAAATGGTTTCCTCGCAACCGGTAAATAGCCGCTGCCCAGTGGTTTTGGACATCCACCGGTTGACCGGTCAAATGGAAACAATCTGTACTGGACGTGAGCTGCGCCGGACTTGAAAGCTTACTTTGAGGAAAAATCGGCTTTTTTATTACATTTCAGTGACTCATCTCTGTCGCCAAACACTTGCTAGCATCAAGATCATTACCAAACGTGTTACCCAGTGCAAATTTGGTGCACTTTTACCCCACGACAGTAAGGAAGTTGAAGTGTCCTACTGTGGTTCAAATGGTACCGCCATAACCCGAGCACAGTTGGCACCTAGCTTGCTGTTCAATCTACATGCGGCTTAATGAGTTGAATTAAACTTTCTAAATGGATCTTCTCATGCTATCATTAGCTCGAATCACATCAAAACTCTTGGTATTATTTGCTCGCGTGGTGTCATCTTTAAAGTTGGATCACGTAACGATAAGTTCCTCTTTACTTTGACTTGTGCGGAATTTCTCAAAAATACTCCAAAATTAAAATTTGATCTGTGACCACAAATCGAGAAGAGTGCCTGATTGGACAACAATGCAACTTCAGAATGTTAGAAAAAGATCCAAATCTGGAACTAGTTTATCAAAGGAACGGAATATGTCATGTATGGTGGATGACCTAACATTGTCAATCAGGATAGTATTTGTTACCAGTTTATGAACTGATCCATGTGAAACTGTTATAGATGATCCATTGAAGAAGTCTGATCGTAGAGCACTCTGTCAAAATATGCCTGAGAATAGTAAACGATGGGATTCAAAATCTTTCAATAAAATAGAAAAAGCAAGATTTGATCGCAGTCAGTCGTAAAATGTTCCTATTGATAGGGGGGTCACAGATTTAAAAAAAACATACCGTTTGAAGACCCGATTACGAACAATGCTTTCGACTAATCTGTTCCCACTAGTTGATACTTTTGCTGTTGTCCGTTTTGTTCGGCTAATTAGTCCACATTAGGCCAAATTTGATCAACCACACTATTCGGATGAATTATATTTGAACATCTTCGGGACTCGTTAACGGGACATTTTCGCAGGGCTCGTTGACTGATTGAGAATATAAAATAGCTCGTACAGAACGAAGCAAATCTGAAAAGTTCAGTGGCACTTTTTAAACTTTTCAATGTCGAAAACACTTAGCGTAAAGATTCTACGCTAGAATCAAAACGTCGTTTGGTTCTTAGGTGTTGGGCAGCACCAAAAACCCTAACCCCTAAGTTCAAATGCTCCTCGGAAATGAAAACCGAAACCTTTCTGAATTTACTTCCCACTGAACTCATTACAATCTAGGGTTTTTGAGATGCGTCTTCATTCAGTTCACGAGAACAGGGAAAGAAGTGTCATGGTTTGTAAGCACTTGGTTCATACTTGCTGATCACAAAAGAAAGACATGACTGATAGTAATGGAATGAGTTCCTGACAAGTCGCAAGTACCAATGAGTTGCTCTTTTATTATCATTATCCTTATCATTATTAAAATCGCTATCATCCGAATCATCGTCATTCGATTTATCGCTAATATCATCATCGTCGTCATCACCATCATCATCCTTCGAGTCATCATCATCATCAGCATCATCCGAGTCATCAGCATCATCATCATTATCATTCGAGTCATCATCATCATCATCATCATCACCATCATCATCATCATCATCATCATCATCATCATCATCATCATCATCATCGTTGCCTTCATTATCCAAACCATCAAAAGGGTTATCGTCATCATCCCATTGAATACTATGTCGTTTGGCAGCGTTTGAGGATAGCTGCAGCGTGGCTGATGGTTCAAGGCCGTAGTTATCAACATCTTCTAGCAAACCTAGATCATGACTTTCACACTCACCCACAAAGTGGTCTCCATTCAAAGTCCAGTAGTTCGGAGAGGTCAATACGTTTACCACAACCGATACCACAAAATTCTGGTTCCCTGTCAAATACCTACAGGGTTTTGAAATACCTTGTTAAAATTTAGATTTTCACTAAGGATTCATTTTACGCGACTATAAACAGTTTGCGTCATTTAAACTAGACAACAAACCAAAACTAACATCCAACTCATTAGTCTCTGATCGGTTAATGTATCCTTTGGCCCTACTAAAGAACCAGACTAAAGCTTTCGGGGGCTGCTGTTGGAATGCCTTTCTCCAGTTCTACAACCGCCATATGGTTTCTCACACACCATTGTGTTTGTGCTCACTATGAAGAAAACAATTTAATTTGAACGTGGAAGAAGCTTGACGCACTGATTTTCACAAATCATAAAGCTAAAGGAACAGAGACTGAATGGCCTAACATCCAAAACAACTTTGCGTGGATATGCGAATCAAGAGTGGCAGACATATTTCTACAGCATTTCATACTTCCACTTCCCCCTTAGAAACCTCATGTGAAAAGGAAAAATGTAATCACGGGAAAGATTAGATTCAACTAATTCTCGTTACCTTATCAACTTCGTGCATCATTTCATGGGAAGGTTGATTTGGAAAGTACGACAAGTTTATAAACGGTGACACAATCTATGGGTCAGCAGAACCAGCGAGAAGATCTACGGTCACCAGATCCACTCGGATTGGGCAGATAGACAGAATTCAAGGCTTTCTGTCTTCTTTATCCAATTCATCATGACAGAGAGAGACACTGGTGACAAGACGCTAGCATTTATTTCACTCTCGTCGACCACAAACGTAAAATATGGCATTTTATAAATGATAGAAGTCATAGTCGCTGATCGAATTAAAGCTTTACACGGTAAAGCAAGGCCACCCCCCAAAAATTACAGCCGCATGAACAGATTTGGAAAACAGGGCCAAAAAACAGTCGTTTCGAAGAAACGTAATAAGGGAGCGGTCGTTGGGCAACCTATGAACTGAAAAACTTGTTTAGTGTGGCTTTTTCTGTCACAACCTAATAAACGCTGTGCGATTGAGCTACTTTGTAACTTGGAGGTGATTAGCTTACGATTTCTCAAGGTCTATTCCAAAATCGGTGTAGAAGATCTTCCTTCGGTATTTACCACTCCAGTCACATAGGAAATGGTAAACACACGAGGCAGCAATCACACACGGCAGTAACCACACAATATTTTGGTCCAAATCTGTTTCAGTAAAACATCCTTTGAGCATTGAGCAACATTGCTAACTGGCAGCGTAATACTTCCTAGTAAGAAAGCACCTTCTGTGAAATGCAAACTTTCGAAAAATCCTACTCAACTCGTGAGTTGGTAGAATTCATACAATTCACACCAAGATCCACTTTGTTTTCGAATAGAATCATTTTTTGGGTGTGAATGCATCTACTTTCTTCGTTTCTCCACAAGAAGTAGGAGTCCTGTTAGTGGCGAAGTGATGAACTGGCGATAGTGTTTATTGACGATTTAACGTTTCTAGGGAAAACCATGAGTGACAGAAGAAAACAATTATTAGTAAGCCTAAATTATGGTTGATTTCAAGAAATACTAGGGTAATACGACAGGCAGAGGAAACCTCTCTCAAATCAGCTCGGAGATACTAACTCACGACCTGGACCGTATGCCACAAGGTTGATAGCCAGTGTGACCCGAAGAGTGAGTGCTTTTATACCGTTGAAAAGTGGCTCAACCATATGCTAGTGAGTGACCGTTTGAGAATGATCACACCCTTCCATGCATAAAAAACTTGGTTTCAATAAAGGGTTTCTTTACCGTAAAATGTTTTGATTATTTCGGAGGGGGGGGGCGGGTTCTCTGACAAACGGTGCATTTAAACAAAGCAAACTCTTGACAGTCCGTAGCTTAAGTAGCTTTTGTGCCATTCAAAACTGTTCCACTGTTTACCATCAATTCAACTCGTTTATTTTGTTCGCAAATCCTGATTGATATGATCATATTCGCGTCAGTCCAAGGACTCAGACCGCTGTTGATCCGAATGCGTGCACACAACCCTTCCACAACCATTTTTGACACACGCAAGCACAAAGATTTGAGCTCATTGTTCTATCACTCACTTACCCACACACGCACAATTTGTCACCGTCTAATGCGGACAATACACGTTACGTGCTGTTAGTGCGGGCTAAAAGGTTGAACGTATAGTGGATACGGTTCTACTATCGGGGCAGGATCCAGTGCCTAGTTGAGACTCAGTCGAGATGCTTTCGAGATGATTCCTAATAAGCAAAAAATAAAATCCTATAAGGTGAGTGCTTCCAAAGTTTCCAAGGGCTTGTCTTCTTACTAAATCGCTCAGTTAAGTAGTTCAACTGTTCTACTAACCGTCACCGATGTGTTTTTTTATTGCACAAATTTCACCCATATGTTGGATACTTGTTAGTAGCATAAGAGGAAAAACATTCAGTATCACAAATGCCACAGAAGTTAATTTTTGGAATTAGCTTTTGTTCCGATTGTGTGTAAAATATCACCCATAAAACGAAAGAAAAGATGCTTTATCAAAACAAAAATAGCAACAAAATGGTGAAGAATTGAGTTGGATGAGCTGTGGATGAAACAGATAAGAGAAATAGTTTTAATTATCATGCTATTTCGGGATCATTCAAGAGACTAGCACATGTGAATTCACTATTTTCGATCCCATTTCAACCGTGGATAACCTCCTTGCCTCAATTCTGGCTAGGCCAGAGGGGATGAGGTAGTGACCTTGTTTGTTATCAGAATATAAGATTGACTTGGCTGATTTTATCGCTTCTTTATGACCCCTTTGGTATGCACTGAGTGATGATGATACGCGATTAAACTCGGCATCACAACAAGATTATTTTCTAAACAGTGAACAGCGAAGCTATGTCCCAATCGGTATCAAGCGAATAGGGTCAAATCGATTCACTATTTTGATATAAGGACCACCAAACTGACTTGTTTTGAAACGTCAACAATTTCATATTGGTTAACATGTCTGCCATCAGACGTGGGCACAGTCTGTTCATAGTTGACTTACCCTAATGAAAACTGATAAACGAAGGGAAAGTGCGAGGCATGCACCTAAACCATTTTTCGCCCCCCTCCCACCCCCCACCCACCTCCCAAAAACATTAAGTGACGAGCGATTGCTTAAACCTGTTAGAATTGTTCTAATATAATATTGGTTCCCGAAATAGGTTTCAGTTTTTGTGTAGTAGAATCGTTTAGCACATCATTGGAAATCCGTGGAAGCACTGCGTTGTTGCTTCATTAGGTTTGTTGTTAATCAGTAACACAATGTCTGTCTATCAAATTCCATTTGGGACTTAAACTCAATGTGTGGGATTGCAGGTACAAAATGATAATCACTGAAATGTCCTGACAGGGACTCAACTGTTTGCTTCGAGTCCAGGAAGAGTGTACCACTCAGCATACGCTAGTCCATTGCTTGAACAATCAGTTGTAGCTACACTGTCAAAAAGGGTTACCCCATCAGGAGAGCTTCTTACCAAGGCATGCAGGTAACCTATTCAGCCATCTTTATTAGGCTAAACTCAATATTTTACGTAAGTGCACTTGGTAAAGCACACCTCTTAAGTTCATTCAATTTTCACGTTTCAAACAAATGCAGTTTGTGATGAGAGTTTCAAGCCCCGCTCTCTTCGGTGCACGGCCGTTAACACACCTCGCCTAATTTATACAGTTTTACTGGATTTGTTATTTTATTTCTCATGGTGGTAGATGGTGCTCTCCTCACACTGTACAATGAGTCGAAATAGTTGTGAGCATTCCGTGCCACTGGTTGAATATGCATCGTTGATGAGTATTTGACTGTAATGAAACAGCTTTACCGTGTTCACACCCACTGTTTTCTGCTAATGAAAGCTACACTGCCCATGTATGGATATCCCAACTGATTGCCTCCTCATCTCTTCTGAGCAGACCCTGTGGAGCATACGGGTGCTACCTCGGATAGGATGGTTATCTTCGCATTGTAAACGTCCTCGGTAAACTGTACCAGATGTTCTACTCCCGAAGGCACAGAACTTCAAATTGACAATCCAACTGCCTGATTTTAGAAATAAAGCAGAATTAACTAATTTGACCTCAGACTTGTTGCCAGGCCGAGACCCGCTCTGTCAAAGAGTGCGCTGACGAACTCGTTCTACTGCGCTTTTATATCTCATAACCCCTTATTGATGGAATATAACGGTTGGTTCACAACTGGACGGTCATTTTGAATAATTCCGTAGCCATTACCGAGGACGGAATCTCAACTCATGAAATCCTAAATACGAGTGAAGCCGTAGTTCTACTATTTCAGTGATAAACATCAGTCAACAAAAATAGTCACCGTCCTCAGATTTATGCGCGTGACGGAAATTACCCACGGGGCACAGAATTAATTGGAATCGTTTAATACGAATTTGGTCACTAAATGCACTTAGGGCTGGCAAAACCAGGGTAAATATTCCTTCCCATTTTCAAGGATATGGTCTTCAGTTATTGCGTGTCATCCTCAGTACTTTAGTATTCTCAATCTGGAAGCAAATAAATTTTACCAAATCTGAACAGGACGGTACAAAATGATCTTTGATTCTAATCTTCGGCCACTTTTTTATTCTACCTACGATCTGGTTTTCTTTTTCAACGTCACCTGATGAAGCCGTGTCTTTTTCAATTATTCAAATAAAATAAGTTACTTCAAAGGATCGTTTGAGCTTGGAGCTATCCACTTTGGAATAATAAAGAGCTAGTTGCTCAAAATCGGAATTCTTGTTAAGGAGAAGTCCATACGATAGCCTGCATAATCAATAATATGTGCATAAACGCAAGCATCATCGACAACGGGGCATCTTTTGAACAAAAACTACAAGCCTTACTGAAATAACTTTTTTCAGATATCACTTTTGAACATGATTTCTTTATCTACTTGAGCACGTAGTCGGTTGCTGACGTCTTGCCAACAGTCGCTTGGTGACTACGCCCGCATGTATTCTGCACAATTCTTTCTACTGACCTGATCTGTTAAAAAGTAGCACAATAATTACAGAAAAATGAATCTGAGGGCCTTATTTCAAAATTATTTTCGAATTCGAGATATCTTGATTAGTATTTAGACATTTGTGTGAGAAATCCTAACTTAGAGAAGTTGAGGAAACCACAGAATTGTCCAGAAGGCTCACAAGAACACATTGAGAAGTTCTGTTAGGTAACGAATCACAGTGATAACATTTCAGGTTACAGAGGTATTGCTTTGCGGATTTAATGGTAGTCATTTTTAAAGGAAACTATAATGATCTCTCCGGATACAAGGCGAAAATGTCTTCCAAGTTCCATACTTGTTGCAGATCCTCAGCCCATCAGAAGAGCCTTCCCTATGTCTCGAAGGACTACTTATGTTACTCCCGGTCAGCTGATAACAGGAAATTGTAAACTGAGCTAATGTGTGACTAATTTGTTCTTCATTGCATATCACCTGTGTAAAGTATCACATCGCAGACTTATTAAAGGTTTGTCTACCGCCTACATTAGTTCTGTCCTGGGCATCGAACTCTAGGTGAATACACTGCACAACATGCTGTGACTGTCGTCGTGTACATAAATTTACGAGTAGAAAAGCCTGATGGAAATTCAGAAATAATTCGTCTCTGATAATTGTTTTCTGGAAAGTTTCAAAATCATTTCCAATAAAACCATTGACTTGTTTTTTGGTTGGCAGGCCAACTCTGTGAATAAATAAGTACCTTCATACAAAATGAGCACGAAATTGGAAGCGCCTATATCAGGATCCTCATCCGGTGCCGATGAATACGCACGACTTGGTCAAAGTGGAATTCACCAGATGGAAACAGTTGATGGCCTGTAAAAGGTTGTGATGTCCAACGGACCACGGCTGATGAAGCAGATCTGTGTCATTTTGCACCAAGGCGTATTGATCGCTCATTGACGTATACGCTTCCCACAGCTATATTTTTTTATCTCTCCTTTGATCAGTGATGAAGGTTCGATCTCTTTCTTTCTCTCGTGCTATGTATAACCTTTACCACATTCGGGATTGGAATTCCACGGACTCTTGACATGTTCTTGGCAAGCCCAAGTAGCAAAACTGTTGCTAAATTTCATTTTCTGCTCCAGTCAGGTGGTGAGCATTGAGCATTGCGACATTTTACGTACGAATTCACTTTTTAAAGAAATTAAACCAACCAGTATTCGGAGTGCATACTCAATGGAGCAGTCAGAGTCCCCTACCTCACAATGTTTCTATTTTGACTTAAGTTACTGGCCTGTCTTTGGTTAAGCAGTATTCTGTTGTGGCAAATGGTGGTTTTATTTTTAATGGAAGACGAATTAGTACTGGTCTTCTTTCCAGATCATCACTGTTCCAGAAAACTGATTGAAACGTTTTGTTGAGTTGTGAGTTCTGTATAATCAACGCTCAGTTCACCATTTAGAATACTTTTGAAAATCGGCTTTGAATGAAGCTCAGGTTGGTGTTGTTCAAAAGCTGTGGTGTTCACTGATGACGTCAGCTTGACTGGCGATGAAACGTCTGTGACTTAAAAGCCAAGCTGAGCAATCAGAAGCCTCTGAACAATCTATGGTTTACTAAGCTTCGTAATTGTACACCTAAATACAGTATGGAACCGGAACTTTGCGCCTAAGATTTTGAGTGTTGATTTATTGTTCTGTAACAGTTCATATC